AAAAAAAAAAAAAAAAAAAAAAAAAAAAAAAAAAAAAAAAAAAAAAGGACACCAAAGAAAACAGCAGGGCTGGGAAGGGCAGGTGGCTGGGTAACATCAGTAGTTGTAGCCCTGGGACTGCTGCTTAAAAGACCTTTGTTCAAACTACAGCCAATATAAAACAATGTGTTGGACACACAGGCCTTTCCAGTGTAGATGGGAAATGTTCCATATGACAGAGGCTAAATTTTTTCTCTTTCTTAAACAAGTAGGAAATCTCAATGGATAAGCAAGTTTTCAGCTCATACACTCGGTACTCATGGAAAGCAAATTTTAGATTCATTTTCTGTAAGCATTTGCACCACTTAAACTCAGATACTAAGGCGATGAAAGCAAGATGGAGTGATACCCCCTTAGATAACATGGGCTAGGCATGAGAATAAAATAGGGCAGTGGTTTTCCACCTGTGGTCTGTGGACCCCTGGGGCCTGCAGACTATGTCTAAGATTTCCAAAGGGATCCACACCTCCATTTGAAATTTTTTAGGGGGTCCACAAATGAAAAAAGGTTGAAAACCACTGGAATAGAGGATAATTCCTGTGCAGCAAAGGCCTCAAACTCAGCTTAAGACCAAAATATTTATTTAGATCAGCCATACTCAGAGGCTTGAGGGCAGTCAGTGGTTCTTTAATGTGTCTCCTGTGGTTCTTTGCAGCACATGATATTAAAACACGTTGTGATTTAATTATTAACCAGTTTACGTTATTAACCTAGCAGGATGCTTTTACTATGTTATTAAACAATTGTAGTGGATAAAATAATAATACTTGGTCAGTCATTTTGCTGTGAGAATTATATATATATATATATAAAATATATAATGAATTCACACTGCTGTGGCTCTGGCTTCTGAACCACTGGAGGCTGAGTATCACTGACTAAGGGTATGTCTATACTTACCTCCGGGTTCGGCGGAAAGCAATCAATCTTCTGGGATTGATTTATCGCGTCTTGTCTAGACGCGATAAATCGATCCCGGAAGTGCTCGCCGTCGACACCGGTACTCCTGCTCCGCGAGAGGAGTACGCGGAGTCGACGGGGGAGCCTGCCTGCCGCGTGTGGACCCGCGGTAAGTACCTTGTAGTTCGAACTAAGATACTTCGACTTCAGCTATGTTATTCACGTAGCTGAAGTTGCGTATCTTAGTTCGAACTGGGGGGTTAGTGTGGACCAGCCCTTAGATTGTAAGCTCATTGTGGCAGGGACTATGTATATAGAATAGCATCCTGATTTTGGTTGGAGTCTCTAGGCACTACCATGCTGCAAATAATTTAATATGTTGATGACGACGATAATGAGAGAACCATAGAGGGGCCTTCGTTGTAAGAGCGTTCCTCTAGATTTTGAACACCTCTACAGCAGGGGAGGTTGGGATCCGAATTTTGGTTCAGCCCAGATTTGGACCCAGTTGTTCACATTTCAAGCTCTCCCC